GCCCGTGGGCGGCGCCTGCCCGCGCCGGCCCCCGCGCTGCCCTCCCGCTGCAGCGCCCCGTCCCCGGCCGTGTTCCCCCGCCTCTCACGCGGCTCCCCTGTCTCTGATGCCCCGTTACTGCTCTTATCCCGCAGAGAGAAGCAACCTGGCCGGAGTGCAGCACGTCCTGCTGGTGCTCTCGGGAAAGGGCGGCGTGGGGAAGAGCACCGTGGCCACCGAGCTGGCCCTGGCCCTGCGACTCGCGGGCAAGAGGGTGAGCAATGGCGCGGGTGTGCGAAGCCTCCGTGACCTCCCTTCCAAGCAGCTGTGTCCGTCCTGCCCAAGGAGCCGCCGTGACAGAGGCAGCTGCTGAGAGTGGAACGGGTCTGTGTCAGAAAGTTGAGTGCGTTTGGCACCTGTGCCTGTTTGGTCCTGCACGTCCAGCTTCTAGGTGCCTGTGCACTTCACTTCCCCTTTGTCCAGGAGGCTAAACTGGTCCTCCAAAAAGCTACACTCGTCATTTGCACCATGAAGGCGCTCAGCAGTGACTCGCTGCTGTGCAGTGTAGAGCGCAGCGCTTGGTGGGCGAGCTGGCACGTGGCGGTGCCGTGGGGCAGCGGGAGCTGCGTGGGCACGAGATAGACTGAGAGTTGTTAAAAGACTCTGTGAAGCAGCTGCTGCTTAGACTCCTATAGGTCTCCAGAGGAGAGATTTCCCTAAAGTGCCTATAACTGCCACAGAGTTGTTCCTTGGGAAGAAGAGGATTTAGAGGACGCTGGTCAAAGGAGACCTGCGAGAACTGGCACTTTGGCCCCTCAGGGTCCTGTGCAGGTGCCGGGAGCTGCCGTGGTGCCCGTGCGGCTCCCCGCGCGCGGGGCGGGGGCCCCTGGGGCTGTGGGGCCCTCGCGCCCCACCGAGGGGCTCTGCGTGTTGTCTGCAGGTGGGGATCCTGGACGTGGACCTGTGCGGGCCCAGCATTCCCCGCATGTTCCGGGTGCAGGACAGCGCCGTGCACCAGTGCGACAGCGGCTGGGTGCCCGTCTTCGCCCACCAAGACAAGAGCATCTCGCTCATGTCCATCGGCTTCCTGCTGGAAAAGCCAGATGATGCTGTGGTGTGGAGAGGACCCAAGAAAAACGGTACAGATTTATTGATGGTACCAGCCTTCCCGCACTAGGCGCCTTCTGCAAAGCTTCCTGGAGCTAACGCTTGCTCTGCCCGGGGCTCTGTCTGCCATCGTGTCCCTTGGCAGCCTGTGCTCCAAGGCGGGCTGCAGTCTGGAAACCCCTCTCCTGGGACAGGAGGGCTCAGAGGCAGCCCATGCAGGTGGCCTGGGGGGAGCCTCTGTCTGCTGGGACCTTGTCCACAATGAATGTGTCTCCCGTGTGCTAAGTCCTTGTCATCTTGCTGGCGAGGGCCGGGGCTGTCCCACTGGCATACATGAGTGTTCTGCTGTCACGTGCCCGTGTGTAGCCAGGGACTTGGGAGTCTGACTAGCCTTGGAGAGGAGAGGGCTCCAGGTGACTTGAGGGAAGATGAGGCTCTTGCACTGCAGGGCTGTCCCCTGCATGGGTTTGGGTGGTCCAGGCTGTGCTGCATGTGCTGTGCTCACAGGTCACCTTGCTCTCTCCCTCCCTGTCCCCCGAAGTGCCTCTTAACCACATGGCTTCCAGGACACTTGCTAACACCTGAGATTTCTTTTTTTCTACCCCTTTCATTTCTGCAGCTTTGATAAAACAGTTTGTCTCTGATGTGGCCTGGGGGGAACTGGACTTCCTCATTGTGGACACTCCTCCGGGCACCTCCGATGAGCACATCTCCACAGTGGAGGCTTTGCGGCCGCACAAGCCCCTAGGAGCAATCCTGGTCACGACGCCTCAGGTAGGGCAGCCTGCCCGTTCTGCACGCTCCTTCCTGGGGGAATATGCACCCAAGGGCGGGTGTTTTCACTTGCCTCCATGGCTGGTTCTTTGCTTTACCTCCCGAGGCAGCCACAGTGTGTCCCTTAGGACATTTGTCAGTCAGTTGTGAGTCAAGCCTGCTCTCAAATCCAAGTTGTCTGGTATTTGCCTCTGTTTACACACAAGCTCCCTGAGCCAGGGGCTGCCCAAGCGTGGGGCCTGCTGGAAAGCTGAGCACATTTGTCACAGGTCTTGATGCAGCTGCTGCTTAACACCTTCAGCCCATGCAGCACTGTCCCCTGTGCTCTGCTCTCGTGGAGTGCACCAAGGACTCTTAGCACAAGCTGTGGCCAGCACAAGGGAAAGCATGTCCTAAGCCCCCTTCTCCATGGATACTGCAAACTGCCTCTGTGTGTGTTTGTGCCTGCTCCAGAGCTGCAGGCTGGCCAGGGAGGCAGACACCACTAACCCTCACCTGCTCTCCCCTCCAGGCAGTGTCTGTGGGGGACGTGAGGCGAGAACTGACCTTCTGTAAGAAGACGGGCTTGCGAGTTCTCGGCATCATAGAAAACATGAGTGGTTTCATCTGCCCGCACTGCTCGGTGAGTTTCTTGATGCTGCTGGGCTGTCGTGGGCCCTTACTCGTGATGCTGTTACTGTGTGACCAGACACCTCTGTCTGGAAGTCACTGATGCCATGAGGGGCGATGCTCTGTGTCTGGGAGCAGGGTGTCCTGGTTGCAGTGCGTGAGGTTCGGAAGGACCTGCGGGCTCTGCTTTCCTGAAGAGAGCTGCAGGTGGGCAGGGATGAGGCCATTTGCTCTGAGGCTGGAAGGTGGAGGAGGGTTCCCTTGCTCACACCCAAGCAGTGCCTGTCCTGTTGCTCATTAATGTTTATGACTAACTGCTATTTCTCTTCCTCCTTCAGGAGTGCACAAACATCTTTTCCAAAGGGGGAGGCGAGGAGCTGGCAAAGCACGCCGGAGTCCCTTTCCTCGGTGAGTGGCCTCTTGAGCCCTCCTTGTTTAGAGGTGATGTCTGTGCAGCGTGGGGACAGTGGGGGAGTGCTGGAGTGGAGAGACACAATAGACACAATGCAGCGGGGAGAGAGGCTGACGCTGGTCCCTAGGAGCCCTTGGAGCCTAGGCAGAGGCAACGTGGTTATTGCTTCTCCTCTCTGCATCCAAAATGCTCACAGGGGCATCTGGCCTGCCTGGAGCAGAGGCAGCGATACCCGGCAGGGCGCTATGGCTATGGATGTTGTGGTGACAGAGTAATCAAGCCCCTAGTCGAATGGCCATCCTGAAACATCATGGAGCCTTCCTAAGAAACGCAGTTTGGGGGTTGAACCCTGCCCTCTGGACAGGGGTGGAATTGGGGTGGGAGGGCATCTGTCACAAAGTACTGTACGAGTACAAAGTTGTGTGGCTTTGCCCTAGAGCCGGGGAGAAGCACTGCAGGTGAAATGCAGCTGCCAAGGGTTTTGAAGAGGATGGATTCCCTCCTTCCTACTGCTGTCCTAGGAGATGAGTCTGTCAGGGATATTTCTTCATTGCTGACAGTCACTCTCCCCTTCCCTCCCCTCTCCTACAGGCTCTGTGCCCCTGGATCCACAGCTCAGCCAGAGCTTGGAGGATGGCAGAGACTTCATCCAAGAGTTTCCTAAGAGCTCTGCCTTCCCTGCCCTGGCCCACATTGCCCAGCAGATCTTGGATGGGACATCCCCGCGAAGCTCCTGACAGGGGTTTTGAGTTGGACTCTTGCTGGCTGAGATCCCTCCTAGCAACCCCAGCAGCAGCCCAGGCTGGTGGAAAGGGGGGTGCAAAAGCCTTTTCCCTCTGACACTGTTACAGCAGGCAGGGAGGGAGGCAGCATCACTGGTGCCACTTCTGGAGATTTGAAAAGGGAAGTGCTGCTCCACTTCGCCCTGGATTTGAAGAGCTCCTGATGGGCGCATCTGTTCACGGAAGGGACGCACATCTGCAGCCTCGTTGTTGCCTTCTGAACAGGCAGGTGCTGCCTGCCTGCCTGCTGCAGTCATTCCTAGCCTCCTACACCCCGTGCTTCCCTCTGCGGGTCGCTCCCTTGCACAGGTACTTGTGGAGCTCCACGTTGTTTCCACAGTGTCCCGTATACTACAGTGTTCTTGACAGTGAATGTAACTAGCAGCTACAGTGGCTCTTACCACTGACTGGCACAGTTGTTCCCTCACGAAACCCAAAAGATGCAACTAGTGCCTGTGTCTTGCCTGCACGTGCAGCTGCCTTCTCTCCTGTTGCTTCTGCTGCGTGACACATTATGTGGTACCTGCGGTTCAGTGGCTGTTGAGTTCATGCCAGATGCTCTGATCTGCATCTGCGTCAAAGAACCTCACTCTCAACTCCGACATTGTTGGTACAGAATATGCCTCTGAGGAATTGGCATGTGCTTTGTATGAAGAAATGTCTTTGGGTGATCTATCCATTTGATGTTTGCATCCTGCCTGTCTGAAAAATGCTATTTCTTGGTCTGCTGGGGCTTGTCATGACTCAGGAATATTTTTAAAGGTTCCAGACAGTAAACACTTTTCTTAAAATCAGTGCATTGTTCATGTTTTTCCATTGCTTTAGTGCTCTGTAGCTGTGACTCTTGGTGTTAAGAGCACCTCATTTATCTCTGAGTATTTTATGCTTTTCCTTCTTCCCCCATGCCCTTGCTAGCTGGGGTGCAGCTAAAGCTTTCCACATTTCATGCCAGCTTTTACGATCCAGCCGTGGCACTTCATTGCAGTATCCTTTGCTGCACCTGATGCACACAGGGCTCCTTCAGCTCCCCAGGCAGTTTTCTGGCTCATGGGTCTGAGCATGCACCTTTGGCCTCCTTCCCCTGGGAGCTGCTGTTAACTTGAGCTTCTCTTCAGTGCAGGGAACCTAATGGAAATGGTGTCTGCCTCTTACGGACTGTGCTTGTCCCTGGCCACATCCTCTCCGTGCTCTGGTCGGTGCTGAGGACTCATCCCTGCAGTGCTGACTGACTGGGTGGGGGCAGAAGTCTCAGATTTTCACTGCCAGGTGGATTCTATTTAAGAACAGCTACAAAGCAGTCAAAGCATCTATCTATTCTGTATGCATAGTTAAAACTTGTGTCTGCCCAGGTTTCCTCACTCACAACTTTCTTTCCTGGAAATTTTGTCTGACCTTTGGTCACTTGTCTCTCATGTGGAAAGTCAGGCAGTGGGGTTGGAGTCTGACCTGGCTGTTAATTTGTGCAGGATTTCTGGGTACCTATTGCAGTCTCCAGGAGCGAGCCCAAGCCCTGGGCCTGCACTAGGTCCCTCGTGCCCTCCCTGCTGCTCAGCGCACGCGTTACCAGCTATGTTGGCTCTGTGATTCTCCATAAGAAAACCTGCGTGGTGGTTTGGGTCCTGGAATGGCGCTCTCAAACCAGCAGCACATGCAGTTTGAAGGGGGACCCCAGGAGACAGATGTGTGGCCTGAGCTGGAAGCTGCTCTTTGCAGGAGTGGAGATGAGTCGGAAATGAGGGTGGCTGGCAGCAGTGACGGCTGTTGTCGCAATGCGGGACGAGCCACGCGTTGCAAATCCTGCTCTGTAATTGCTCCCAGTGGGGCAGGGTGTAACCAGAGTCCAAGAGTCTGAAGTGGCATCACTGGGGTCGCTGGGCAGTGGTTGCTGGCCCTTCCTGCCTGCATGTGTGTGCTCTAAATGACACTGAGCCCTCTGAGGCCAGTCTGGGCCTTTCCTTCACAGCTGATAATCTCACAGAGCAGTTCCTGCAAATTCCTCCTGTTCTTGAGTGAGACGGTCCAGCCCTTCTCTTGGGCATCGTGGGGACTAGTTAGGGTGTCGCAAAGGTCTGGGGAGCCAGAGCTGCGCTCTGGGGCGAGACACCCAGGGCCTTTCGCCCTACAGACGCCCCCTGCGCTGCCGCGGGGCAGCCGGGTGCCGTGACGCCGGGTAGCTGGCGGCGGCCTCGCTCCTCGGCTCTGCGCTGTGCGGGGCAGGGGCTCTGATAAGACATCCCAGCTGGGTGCGGCAGAGGCTTTCGGAAAAACATACTTACAAGGTGGGTTGCGATAGCTCCAAAGGTTTATTTGCCTGCTACGATTTATCAGGTAAGTGACATGCACGGCTTTCTGTAACCTGCCTACATCTGCTATTGCAAGGAAGGATTAAAGCAAGTCCCAAAACCTGGAGGAGAGCTCGTGGCTTTCTAGGATTCCCTTCAAACCTGCCAAAGAGCACCCTGGGCAGAGGAGAACCTGAGCCCTGAGCATAGTCTTGGCCTTGGGCTCCCGGCCGGTGTGTGATGGGTGTCAGGCTCTTGGCTCCGCTCCTGGCTTTGTGCCCCGGGTCCTGCTTGTGGCACAGGCTGCTGTTTGCCAGTACCACATGAGAGCAGCGCGGTGCCTGGGCCGAATGGGGACAGCCTGCAGCTCTTCCCCCGCACCCAGTGATGTGAGGGTGTTGGGAAAGGCTCGAAGGAAGCTGCCCAGCACTTGGCATTTGCTCACTTGGCTCCTGGCAGGCAGATGCTTCATTTCCTTGTAATTCTAATAAGCGGGTGCTGGGGCCAAGCTCCCTCTCTGCCCTCGAGGTGGTTGTGCCGGGCCTCAGAGATGCCCTGGCCATGGCGAGGGCTCTGCCCCAAGGGGAGATGCCTTTCCCTCACCCCTGCGTGGCTTCCAGAAGCAGCTCAGAGGTGCTCAGGCTTCCTGAGCGGGGTGGGCAGGCAGGCTGGGGGCTGGTGTTTAAGTAACTCGGATATTTCAGCTAGAAGCTAGCAAAGCCCGTTTGGGCAGCTGGTGCCCGTCTGCCCGTCCCTGCCTTCCCCTTCAAGCAGACGTAGCCCAAGGAGCACAGTCTCCCCGGGTTACTGTGTGCCAGCCCCTGCACTGCTTCTGTTTAAAGTTGCCCATACGCAGCTCTCAGCACAGTGTGGAGAGGAATGGCTAAAGACAGCAGGGAAACAAGGGCCGCTGCTGCCCTGCCAGCCCAGCGCGGGGCCACGACGGGAGCGAGGGGCCAGGGAGCTGCTGTCCCAGGGGCTGAGGAGGGGCAGGAGCCAGCTCAGGACACTCCGCGAGCTCGTGGCCAGGTGCGCGCCGGTGCTCGCGCCGCGAAGCAGCAAGTCCTCGGGAAAGCGGAGGCGCCCTGTCAGCAGTGAGCAAAGTTGTCCTCACTGGTGTCGCGGAGATCCAGGCCTGTCACGTTTGGGGGGCTGAGGCAGGTGAGGTTGTTGTAAGTGTATACGGGGATGTGGGAATCGTCCCCCTCCACCACGGACTGCACGAACCGTGGGACCACGACTGGGTGCTGCAAAGAGAAGTCCCGCAGGCCCTTCAGGGAGCAGTTGCAGTGCCAGTTGTTCCCCTCCAGCCACAGCTGCTCCAGCGCGAATGAAGAGCACAGAAAGCTGACGGAGAAGGTTTCCAGAGAGTTGTTCCTGAGGCTGAGGTACCGCAGGTTTGACAGCGGGGAGATAACAGTGTTGTCCAGCGTCTCCAGCTGGTTGTTTGAGAGATCGAGCCAGAAAAGTCTCTGGAGTGGGCTGAAAGTGTCCTGTGAGATCTCCAGGAGATGGTTGGAGGAGAGAAAGAGGTACTCCAGGTTGCTTAGTCCCACAAAGAGCTTGGGTGAGAGGTGGCTCAGCCTGTTGTTCTTCAGATCCAGCTCCAAGAGTTCATGCAGATCGCTGAAGCTTTGGTCTTCGATCACAGAAATGGTGTTGTGCTGTAAGAAGAGCCTCCGCAGGCTGGAGAGGCTGGAGAACGTGTTTGTTCTGATCCTGCCAAGGCAGCTGTGCTCCAAGTGAAGGCTGTGCAACTTAGAGACACCCTTAAAGACATGGTCAGGGAGCACCTTGATGCAATTGGCAGACAGGTGCATCACTGCGGTGTTGTACAGCCCCAGGAAGGCCCCAACCCTGATATCTTGTATCTGGTTGTTGTTCAGAGTGAGGACCTCCAGCTGGCCCAGCCCGTCAAAAGTCCTTTCTGCCAGGCCTCTGATCCTGTTGTGTCCCAGCTGCAGCTCCTCCAGGAACTGGAGGTCTTTGAAAGTCCTAGGTCTCAGGCTGGTGAGGGAATTGGTGGATAAGCGTAAGACATGCAGGCTCAGGAGACCCAGAAAAGTGTCCTCAAAGAGTGAGACAAGACGGTTGTGCGAGAGATCCAGCCACCGGAGTGACTTCATGCCCATGAATGCGCGGGGTGCGATGGCACTGATCTGGTTGTGGTTCAAGTACAGCTTCTGTAGCTTCTGCAGCTTGACAAAGATGTTGATCTTGATTCCCTTGAGAGAGTTCCCGCTTAGATCCAACTCCTTCAGCTCGGTAAGACTGCAGAAGAGCTGGTGCTGCAGGTAGAGGAGCTTGTTTCCAGCCAGGATCAACTCCCTCAGGTTGGGTAAATCATGGAAAATCTTGTCAGGCAAGACCACGAGGGAATTCCAGCCCAGGTTCAGATACCACAGGTTGGAGAGACCAGCAAACAGTCCTTCCTCCAGCTTGATGAAGAGGTTGTTATTGAGGCTAAGGGACACAAGGTTTTGAGTGTGAAGGAAAGTGTGGGGCGCCAAATACTTGAGCTGGTTGCGTTCCAGGTGGAGGTGGTAGAGGCCCCGCAGCCCATGGAAGGCGTCCTGCTCCACAGCAGCCACCTGGCTGCTCTGCAGGTCAAGGAAGTCCAGGTTGGAGAGGTTCCTGAATGCTGCAGCCGGCAGCGAGGTGAAATTGTTGCTGTCCAGCCAGAGGGCTTTGGCGTTGGTAGGGACGTCGTCCGGAAAGTGCGTGAGGTTGCGCGCGCTGCAGAAGACGTTGAGCTCCTCGCTGTAGTCGTCAAAGCTGCAGGCGCACGAACCGGGGCATTGCAGGGGCTCCGCGTCTGGCTGCTCCTTTGGGCCTTCTCCCTCCGGCGGCTGCGACGCGGTTGCCAGCAGCAGGGCCAAGGGGAGCAGGAGGGCGACGGCTGCTGTGGGAGGCAAGGAAATAGGAAGTATTAGCTGACCAAGCGTGGCATGAGGAGGCAATAGCGAGGGACTTTGTTGCTTGCTTGATGGCTGCTCTAGGAGATGATCCTGGGCCAGGAGAGTCCTCCTGACCTTCTTGTGTCCTAGCAAAGTTGCCTGGCTGGAGTGATCTCTGCTCTCTGGCTGACTGTGACCATGGAGCTGCCTGGCCTACGCCACGACCAGCAGGCTGGTGCGGTGTCCAGCCTCCTGCTCCGCACTGGTACCCGCGTGCCGGCATTGCCGCCTCTGCTCCGTCCTGCAGCTTCCCACCATGGCCCCTCATCCGCCTCTGCCAATGGAGGTGAGTGCTTGGGCTGATGGAGGCGAGTGAGGAGCCGCGAGGTGAGGCTGAGGCCGTGCGAGCTGCCATGTGCTGCACGTTGCGTGGCCCAGCCCTGCCCTGCTCCTTGAGAAAGCGGTTCCTGCAGCAGGGAAAAGCAGCAGCAGGGGCCGTGGAGCGAAGCGGCAGGGGCAGCTCAATGTGGCCATCAGGAACAGCTGGGGTCAGAAGAACCTTCCTCTCCCTGTCACTCGCCCTTGAGTTCTCCATTGCTGTCGCGTGATTCCCCTCCCTTTGCTCCCTGAGCCCCAGGCCACTCGGTGGTGCCCGCGGGATCGGGAAGCGCAGCCGCGCTCCGGGCAGCTCCGCTTTATTTTCACCATAGAGGTTTCTCCCGAGCACTTTGGGCCAAGCGATGGCAGATGCCACTGAAGTCACTGCGACAACTCGCGGGGCTGTGGCTGCTGTGCGTTAGCTCCAAGTCGCTCCGTGGCCGTGCGAGCATGGCCGTGCCCTCCTGCCGCCATGGAGTGACGCACCCGGCCCTTCGCTGCCGGCGCACGCGGGGCTGGGGCAGGATGGGACCCCCCGGCTGCCCTGCGGCCGCCCTCTTTGTGCAACCAGCTTCCCCAGGGTCCCAGCTGGCATTCTGGGAGCACCAGCTGCCGGGGCGGCTCCGGATCCCGTGCGTTTTGGGTGCTCCCATCCACTCTGCACACACTAAGTGGGACCACGTGTGTTTGGGTCTCCATCTGCCCTTTGGAAAGCCCCAACCAGCGTTAGCAGGATTGCACTGCGCTCCAGTGCGGCTCCGACCATCTTTATTGAGCCTTTGGTGCGTGGAGCCTGTGTAGCCCCTGTCCTGGGCGTCCCCTGCACTGGGGGTCCCCCATGCCAGCCAGGAAGTCGGTCCAGGTCCCTCTTGCAGCTGCCTCTCTGTGCCAGCAGCCAATGCCCCTTTCCCTCCTTTCTCCCCAAAAGGTCCAGACCTTTCCAGGAGTGGAGGCTGCCCCTGCCTCGCCAGCCACCCAGCAGTGCAAAGGCCCTTCCCGGAGCCGCCTTTGGTGGAGGCTCACACTCCGCGCTGAGGGGCCACGCAGCAACTTGCCCGGGGAGGCACCGGATCCTCAAGGGTTTTTTCAGTAGCAAAGGTGGGCAAGAAAAGAAGCCTGGAGGGGAAGAGGTTAACAGCAGCTGGTCTGCAAAGTCCAGGGAGAGTTTTACCTTCTGCCGCTGCGTCCCTGCTGTGCGGGGCCAGTGGCCGGGGGCCCCGCGCGGTGCCAGGGACGCGGGACGCTCCTGCCTTACCTTGCCATGGGCTCATGGTGGCCGCCGGGCGGGACGGCAGCGCTCCGAGTCCGCCGCGCCGCTCTGCGGCCCCCCCAGCGCGCGGGCAGGGATGGAGCAACCACCTTGACGCCCGTCCAGCCGCGCGGGCCCTGGTTAACCCCGCCGCTGCTGGGCTCCGCGCCGCGGCCCCGACGCCGGCACCGCTTGGGAACGGGGTGCTCCGGGCACGGCCGCTCGGCTGGAGGGAGTAACACGGGAGCACAAACAGGCGACTGAAACGTTTCTCCTCTCTCCCAGCCCCAAGCGGCGTTTACTTTTTGCTCATGGGTGGGATGAAGTGAGATACGGACATGCAGGGCCCAAATGGGCTGGGGAGCCGGCTGCGTGGTGAGACTTCGCGATCCGAACAGCGTTCGGATCCGCAGGGACGTTCTGGCCTTGGGATGAAGGTGAAGAGCTGCAGGCTGGGGGTCTGGGCTGGGGGCTGCACGTGGGCTGTGCCGGAGCTGGAGTCAGGCTGGGATCAGCACACAGAGCCCAGTGGGGAAATGAGCTGGGAGGCTGCTGGGGCTTCCCGGCTGGAAGAGGAGGGATTTGCTCTGTGGTTCCCCAATGACCCCTTGGGTTGACTAGTTACAACATGAAAGGAGCAAGCGGCTCTGCAGTGTCTCGTGGCGAGAGGGGCACCTCTCTGCTGGGCTGCCCCTGGCATGAGCATGAGAGGCCGGATCCCATCCAGGCCTGAAAATGTCTCCTGGGGCCTGCAGCATCCAGGGTGCTTGGGAAGCTCAAGGGTGCCCAGGCTGCTCTTATGGGGAGATGGAGGTAAAATGTCCAAGGTTTTACACTGATAGAAGGAAGAGATGAGCAGAAAAATGGGAAAAGTTCTTCTCTATCTAGCACAGAAAGTCTCAAAAATATAGGAAAGAGTCACTGACGGATAAAGCTGGTAGGAATAAAGTCAGCCTTGGATTGCCCGGGCATGTTAATGGCAGTATGAGGTGATGGTGCCCAGCAGCTCTGGGCAGGCAGAGGAGGGCTACGGAACTGCTCAGCTCCAGGCAGATAATTGAGAGTTTTCCACAAAGTTAACACTCGCTCTGCTGGAATGACCTGCAATGGGGAGCTCTGCACGGAGCTTGGCTCCCAGCAATCCATGTGTTTTGCCAAACTCTCTGCTAGGTTTGGTGGGCAGGCCCTGGGAAGGAGACGGGCTTGGTGGGCTGTGTGTTTTGGGAAGGGCTTCCCCTCTTTCAGACCTAGAGGCCTCTGTGCTGCCTGCTCACGGGTGACGTCCCACACTACCTGCCATGGCTGGGAAGGGCCCTGGGGCTCCCTGCTCTGCAGGCACCAGAGGTTGGCCCTGAGGAAGGAGCTGGGTGAGCTGGGGGTGATGGATGATCCTCAAGAGCTGACTTGGAGTTGGAAGATCGCACTCTCCTGCCAGAGTCATTTGGCAGCTCTCCAAAACTGCTCGGGGAGGCTCATGAACTCATCCTGTATTCCAGGTCATTTCCCCACTTGCCCTTGTCCAAACCAGCTTCTGAGGAAACTTTTACCAGTTTCCAGGAAAGAAAAAGGTCACTTCTGTCTCGCACAGAAGAGCCTAACTGGCCAAGGGTTGTGTTGGAGGTGGCAGTTTGCTGCCCTTGTAGTAGCTGCCTGATGAGGCCATGGAAACGCTGCTGCAAGGCCCTTTCTGACTATTGCAGTCACGTCTTCCCATGATGATGCACCAGAAGCAGGGCTGGTATTGGACACCATTTACTGCCACGGTTCATGCTTGCCAGAAAACGAGGCGGGAGGTGACACGGAGCCGAGGAGCAGGGCGGCGATGCCCCATGCCTGGGCTGGCAGGGCGAGGGGGGGCCCAGCGTGGGGGTCCCCCCCCGCCGGTCCTGTCTCTCTGCAGGCACCGCGACCGAGAGCACCCACGTTGTGCCCGTCTCGGCCGACTCGCTCCAGGATCTCCACTGCCCCAAGGCTCCACGGTGGTACTTGAGGATGGGAATTGAGGGCTGCGAAGGCTGCACAGCCCCATGCTCCTGCTGCCACCTCTCCTGTATCTTGCCATTGGCCTCCTGCAAAGGTGGCCATGGGCCAGATGGCTCCTGCACTGGGACTTCTGACCACTGTTGACGTCCAACCAGGGAAAAAGAAAATGGGCAAATCCCAGGTAAGGTGCAAGGGAGGAGAGCCCCAAAGCCAAGAGGGTCAGTGCAGGGCTCTGGCTGCTCCTGCCAGCAGCCAACGTGGCAGGTGCTTCCTGCAGGACAGGACATCCCGACCCGGAGAGCAGCAGTCACACACGGGCTGCTCTGGGGGGTCCAGGGAAGGACCCTGCCCCTGCAGGCTGGGGCTCCAGCACATTTCAAATAGCGTAACACCCTGCGCAGGTCTCCCTGGTGCCCCGGTGTCCGACGGGAATGTGTCCATGGGAACGAGGGTTAGCAAGGGGAGGGGAGAATCCTGCGTTTTTTTGCTCAGTGCAGCGAAACTTCTGCAGTTCAGCTAAATAAGAAATGCTTTTCCAGTTTCTTTTTGGATTGAAGTGGTGCTCTCCTCCCCCTCTATTTTAATTTTTTATTCTGGGAAATTATAGATCAGAAGGGAGAAATGAGAGATAGAGACAAATGTATCCACTAATAGGCGCTAAGCACATATTGACACAAGGTGTAATCAATCTGGAAGCTAAAAAGAGCTGAACCAGCAAGGACCTGCCAGCCAAAACCCACAAAACTTCCAATTGGATTTTAAAAGAGAACTACCAACATCTACAGAGTTGCTTTATTCCTGCACACAAAAGACTTTTTGGGGAGTGAAAGTCTCGAAGCAGCAAAGGGGAAGCAAGGGCAATACGGAGCCCCCTCCTTGCAGAGCGGCCGCAATGCCGGGTCCCCTCGCTATCCCTGCAGCCACCTCAGTGCAAAGCAGGCACAAGCGCCCGCAGGGCTGGCTGCAAGTGCCACCAGCCCAGAGCTGCTCTCTGCTCCTGGGGAGAGCGGCCCCAGGGAGCCCGGCGCTGGGGGCTGCAG